GCCCCACCCCCACCGCCTCCTGTCCAAACTCACAACTCCTAAATGAGGCACCGTCTATCCCAGCTTCCCATACCAGCGCTACTTTCAAGTTCCCTCGATTAGGTGCCGCAACTGTAAGCCCTAGATTTTGTCTTCTCCATCTTTTGTCAAGCCCATTTGCCAAATACAAAAAAGACCAAATAAGCTGGGTCTTCATCGTTGCTCTCCAACGTAATCCCCAGATCTCCCACTCGCTCAGAAATCAATGCAGAGGTTGAGATGAGGTGAAGCTCCCTTCTTAACTCATCAGGCTGGGAAGTGATGGTCTTATGACGACTTTTTGTGTTACCAGTGTGGCTCCATGATGAAACTAATTGTCCTATTTCATGCTGGCTTTTCAAACTGTCGTTCTGCGGGAAAACAGGAGCTTTGAAGAAGCCGGTGTTAGTCATAAGTTTACGGAGCAGTTTGGAAAGTTCAGTTAGGATGCCCAAACTAACTGGAGAGTGACAAAATCAATCTAACTAGGCTTAATAGAAAAAAAAAGTGTTGATGGGGGTGGGGGGGTTTTTTGGGGGGAGAAAGATTTTTTACTTTTCCAGCTTCTAATTTTTCATTTCGATCTTCTGATAATCTTGTTGAGAAATGACGGTTATCGATGTTACTATTAAAGAAGAAAGCAGCTGGAATGATGCGAAGTATCACCAAGATAAACAGATTCATATTGTCTGTTGATTTATTGCAAAAGCTACAACTCTGATATTTATTAGAACATTATCTGGTTACATCATTGAGATCTTTTTTTTTTCTTAATGGCACTTATCTCATTCCCTAATTTTTATGCTGTTTCAACAATTTATACATTAAAATGTTCAGCTCCTTTCCACCTATGACTTTTGGTACTTTTATACATTTTTCTCATTGAAAATAGATGGAGCGGCCTTCATCATTCTCAAAACCCTCCAAAATTTTTAGGTTAGTTTCAGCTTTTTGAGCTACTTCAAAAAAAATTACTTATTTTCTTGTTTTTTCACATTTGAAAAAGTTCACTCTCATTTGCGTGTAAATTTAACTTGTTTCCTCTATGTTTAGCTTATTTTTTTCTAATTTTAGCAATGTTTCAAAATGTCTTTACCCTTTTTTATTATCTTTCAGCTGATTTTTCACTTCTATTGTCCTACTTCCAGCAAAAGTCTGCTGTTCAATTTTAACTCGAACGGACAGTTTTGCTATTAAACCTTTTCAGTTTCTTCAACAGCTTTCAGTAAAAATCTTTCAGCATTAAGCATTCACACTGCATTTTCACAGGAAATGCAATTTCTCCGTTTAACCCTGACTGTTTTTTCTTCTGTAATGTAACTACAGTGTCAGAAACAGGCTGGTGAAACCAACCCAAAGTGCTGCCTCTGCATCAGTGAGGTCCGGGTGAAAAAGTGGACTAGTGCTGGGACAGCAGTAATTCTGCCAGCCCGTCTTGGCTAATGTCAGCCTGACGGAGGCTCCAAACCAGTGGGGTGGGATGTTTCGTTACAACCCTCTGCCCCATGGTCTGCCATCATAATTAATATGTTGTTGCATCAAAGTTGAAGCGTTTGCCTCCGAAATGTCCTGCGCCCAGCCCCCTTATTAAAGACCTGACCTCCAAGCAGCTGAAGGTTGCTCGGCAAACTTGGCACACCCCCGAGCGTAAAACATCTGCTTTCCTCTCAGGCAGGACCGCCGCGGATCCCCTGCGTCTCAGCCGCTTCCCGCAGCCCAGCGAGAGAGCCCTTCCCCTGTCCTCGCACAATGACCCCCACATTTATAACCGCCACCCCCCCAGCCACTGCTGAGACCTCCTCAAGCCTCGGGCTCAAACATGGACCTCTCCATCACCTCGTCCGCATGTAGCGCTGCGCCAGTGTGGTCACTTCGCCGCTGAGAGGACTGCTCCTGTCTTGTTATCCCCCACATCAGGGCCTGTCCAGAGGACGGGAGGGGTGATGGGTGGGGCGGGGAGGTGGGAGGTGCTAGCTATGGAAGAAGGGGAAAGAGGCATCTGCCCTGCTCCCACAAAGCGACGACCGTTGGAACGCTGACAGGAGCATCTGTCACGCCCTGCCTTCACACACGCTCACCTGCTCCCTGACGATCTGCCTCCCGCAGTCTGCCCTCATCCCGCCTCTCAAAGCTTCCTTTCTGACGATCTGAAGCCTCGTGTTAAAAAAAAACACACTCCTCGTTTCTTTTCAACGTTGCTGTAACGACTCAATCAGAGCAGACAAACATGCCGCTGGGTTTATTTCAAACGGGTGACCCCCCCACCCACCCATCCCCTTTAAACGCCACATAAAGAAGAATGTCTGAGTTCTGCTCTGCCAAGCTGACGTCAAATAAAAGCCATGTTTATGAACAAGTGTTGCTCTGGTGTTAATGAATGTACTGACCTGTCTTGTGACTACTTCATCATCCTCCAGTGGCACCCACATTCGTTCCCCAAATGTGCTGTAGGGTTGCCAGCTGAAGGGGGAAAGATGCCAATCCATGTGTATGACACACATACTCATAAACACACACACACACACCAACTCAAGGACACCATCGCTCATTCAAGTCCAGAGAAGGTGCCTTTCAGCTTCTAATGTCACAGAGAAAAATTTGGAAACCAAAATCCGTGTAAATTTACCAAAACACTAAGAGAATAAAAAGAAATCTGTGTAGATTAGATTTTATATTTGGAGTATTTTTCAAACTGCTGGTGGTAGAAGGTTTTCAATCTTTTTTTTTTACAAATCAGTAAAGTTTGTAGACATAATGTGATAAATTGTGTGACAGTATGAAACAGAAAATGGGGCCTGACATGAGCTGCTTTGGTTTGGGCTAACGTCATTATAGAACAGGATTTGTCTGTTGTGTGGTTCATATTTAAGCTGCACACATTAATAAATAATACTGTCTTTTTTATTTGTAGCTATTAAACATTTAAAATATGCACACAAGTGCACAACTTTTAGTCTGTGCTGCATGAGCTATACCTCTCTGCAGCTCATTAAATCTGTGAAGCCACTCTTCCTGGATAGCAAATGACCGCCTTCATGAAATCCAGCTGCTCCCTTTCTGGGTTGTCTCGTTGTCACGGTGGCCAGAGGACGGCCCCGAAGCGGGGAGGTGATTTTGAAAAGCACCGGTCATACATAAAGTCTCTCAGCGTGAGCGAGGACTCGGAGAAGACGAGAGGCAGCTTAACAAATGAGTGAGGAAGGATGGCAGGACTTTTGTGGCCCTCGGAGACAGAGTGGGTTGGGATGTTCTGACACAACCTCAGTTGCCAGGGTGAAGGATACGCATTCATATCCATGCACACGCTGTCATCTCTCCACAGCTCCATCCCTGGCCTCTGCTGTAAGTTGTGTGTCGAAGTAGGAACCCCTCTAAGCTGGCTGGGGTCCAACACCAAGGTCTCTCACCTCACAGGCTGGATAAGGGACCTGGTTGCTCCTGTGAGTTATTCCTGGATTTGGACCGAGGTCTCTCTCCTTTTTTTTTTCTTTTGTCTCATCCACCTTCCTCTGGCCCAGCATGGCCTCCTCTTCTCCCTTATCCCCCTCTCTGGGACCCTGTGGATGATTTGCCTGTCCTTCAACTATCAGCAACTACTGTCTTTACAACACACACACACACACACACACACACACACACACACACACACACACACACACACACACACACACACA